ATTTAGTGACTTGGGGATATGAGCTAACCAAAATTAGATATTTTGCTATAAACATTAAAAGATATCTATAGAATATAATTTTTTAAAATGGTATTTATTTAAAATAAATAAGAAGTTGACCTTTGATATAGGAGGTAAAAATTCCTTTAATAAAAAACCTTTTTACTTTTCTTGCAAGCCAAAAATCTTATGACAGAACGTTAGACCATATTCTAAAATTTTAGAAGTTATTGTAAATGTTAGACTACAGTCTAATAATTTATGAGCAAAATGAAAATTAGATTAGCAAATATTTTCAAATCTAACTTTGTCCGAAAACAGTAACTTCCGAAGGGCGATATTTGCACAACTATTTTAACTCAAGAACTTTTTAAATCTTTAAATTGTCAACTTTCGCCAAATAAAACTAAAACCTTTTAGAAATATGCAGATATGAATCTGGGCATATGCCTAAGTCTAAAATTACCATATAAACCTATTGTAACCATCATAACTCCGATCCGAGATCAAATACACAAAAGTCAAACTTGGTCAACTCTTCTAACTTGAACCTTCTAAATTGAGAATTACTCTTCCAAATCAATCCCGAACCACTCGAAAATAAAAATCGACTATGCACACAAGTCATAATACATCATATGAAGTTACTCAAGACCTCAAACTACTAAACGAAAATGCAATGCTCAAAAGGACTGATCGAGTCGTTACGGAATTTGTACTCTCTAGTAAAGTTAAATATTCCACGAGTCATTATGTATCTAATTGCGTTCTGTCATAATCAAATCAGTCATTTGCAAATTATTATTTACTATATCTATTCCTAACAGTGTGCAATCAAATCAGTCATTTGCAAATCAATTATCTATTATATTTATTCCTAACTGTGCAGGAAGCCTTAACCGATCCAAGGTGAAAATCTGCTATAAATAAGGAATTGAATTCCTTGCAAAAGAATGAAACTTGGAACTCAATTAATCGTCCAATTGGAAAGAATCCAGTGGAATGTTGCCGGATTTATACTACTACTACTCCTCCTCCTCCAACTGCTACTACTAAAGAAATAGAGGAATTTTCATAAACCATTATAGTTTAGACCTTAGTAACTATAGTTTGCCTAATTACTAATTGTAACTACGATTCAACTGTTACTAGCTTGTATCACATGTATTCAAACGCGCAACGAAAATAACCAGTGGCAACGATATTCGTTCGCGCAACAAATACAACATATATCAACTGTATTCGTTCGCGTAATTGTATTCATAATGAATGTAATATGTATCAACGGTAACCAAGGCGAAACACAAGGGTGTATACAAAAAATACAATATGTATCAACTATATACAGAGGTGTATACAAAAGGAAATAACATGTATCGACTGTATTTGTTCGCGCAACGAATACAACTAAGGCAAAATACATAAATACAGAAAAATAAAATATTTTTATAGAGAGCCAAACTCAAGACCTACGCTAACTAAGTTGGCGCTCTAACCAACTGAGCTACGAGAGCTTGTTGCTATCTTGTTTCATTTCAAAACAATTAATCTCTTATTTCACGGAGTTGCTATTAATTCAAATATAGATAATGAATGATAAATTTACTGAAAGTATAGTTACGAATAGTAAATACAGTGTAAATGTTTAGTGTCGCGTAATCTTCCCAAAGAAATACAAGAAGAAATGATTTTTGAACTCAAAATCAGGTCCAAACTTGCCCAATTTTGGCGATAAAATAGCACGGTCTAGCCAGTTTTCGGACTAGTAATTCAAAAATAGTCAGCGTTTACCAAGTCAACGAAAAAAAGTCACTATTTTGTTGCAACAGAGACCGGTCCAGCATAATATACTGGAGTTTGGAGCATCGGTGCTCCAGTCCCCAGTATATTATACTGAAGCCAGCAAAGTATATTGGTCCAGCATAATATACTGGAGTTTGGAGCATCGGTGCTCCAGTCCCCAGTATATTATACTGAAGCCAGCAAAGTATATTGGTCCAGCATAATATACTGGAGTTTGGAGCATCGGTGCTCCAGTCCCCAGTATATTATACTGAAGCCAGCAAAGTATATTGGTCCAGCATAATATACTGGAGTTCGGTGCACTTGTGTATGAACTTCCAGCATATTATGCTGGACCAATATACTTTGCTGGCTTCAGTATAATATACTGGGGACTGGAGCACCGATGCTCCAAACTCCAGTATATTATGCTGGAGTATTTTTTCGGATTTTGAACAGTGTTTTCGTTCAGATTTATCTTTACATGAAAAGTGGCTAAATTTCGATTACTTTTAAAACTGTGGCTATTTTTGAATGATCACTTGTAAATCTGGCTATTTTTGAATTTCTCCTAATTTTGGCTGAAACAAAGGCCCAACTAAAGTCCATTCAAGCCTAATAAAGTGGCCCGTTAGAGCAGCCACAAGAAGAGACCCAATCCGGCCACCCACCAGCCCAACTGTAGAACCCACTAAAGACTACCTAAACGACGTTGTCAATAGCAGACTCAATCTCAACCACTCATCTCTTTAGATCTAATGGACAAGAATTAATCCCGCTTAGCACTAGAAACCCAAGTTAGGGTTTGATTTTCATTCTCTCTCTCTGAAACGACCACCTCTCCCTCATCCTTTCCTCTTCTAAGCAAAAAAACTCCAACTTGAACCCTAGCTTCTTCCTCCATCTATATATAATTTCTTAAGCTCTCTGCCAAAGGAGGAGAGAAAATCTGGAAAAATCATATTTATACTTTCAATTTTTGTATTCTCTCTCTCTCTCTCTCTCTCTCTCTCTCAAGTTTCAATTCGAAATTCAAAGGGGTAGATCTGAAACGACCTCTGCGCCTCAGTTTCACTGCCCCATAAAAGGTAAATATAACTCCACCCTCTTTATTTTGTTGTTGGATTCATGTGCTTTAGAAATCATGCTTTACGATCTCATATTATAGAGATGTGGTTTATGTTTGTTGGTTCGTTTATGTTGTGAATAACATATAATCTAAAAAAATCTGCTTTAATCCCTCTGCCGTGTTGAAGTATTACTGGGGAATCGACTTTCAGGGATGATGCCTTTTTTAGGATTTTCTTTAAGTTAACATGTAGGAAAATATAGACAGAATCGATATTCTAATTACAGAAATAGAATAAAATACATTCCAAATATCAATTAAAACTGTACAGTGTAAAAAAGGTAGCTGGCGGGGCTCAAACTTGTGACGTGCTCATAACATTCACATAACGCGATCTGCTCTTACCACTCGACCATGGCAAGGTATTAGGACCATGGTTCCCATATAACTGGGCCAAGTAGCATAGCACCCTGTTCTATTAAACACAATGACCTTGAACTTGAAATTCGGACTCTTAATCTATTTTGTTGAACCATAGGTACCCTTAAACAGATCAAGTTTTTACTTGAAAATCTCAAGCTTTGGAATTCCTGCCTTATAATTCTGTGAATATGCTACAGATTGAAAAGAAATTGAAAGCAAATTCTTAACAATGTTGTTAAGAGCAATGTTGTCTTGTTCATGTCAGTAATTGATGCTATTTACTTCATACTTCATCAAAAACAAAAAAAAACAATTGATGCTATGTAATATGTGATGCTGGTTCTAGAAGCTTGTCATGCCTCATTAAGCATTTCAATGCTGTGGGCTCTGCAGCAACACGTCTTTAATATAGTAATTACTTTGTTGTTATGCAAGTTTGAGATCTAGATTTCTCTAGAATGGTCAAGTACAAGTAGCTTGGAGGGTAGGTAGGAGGTACTAGGATTCAACATATGACAACAGTAAATTGCGAAGTGGAAAGCGACCCTAGGGCTTTGGTCTAGTGGTAAGAGTGCAACATGAGATGTGTGGTTAGTCGCATGTCATGGATTTGAACCCTGCCTCAATCAAAAGTATGATATTTAAGTGGAGAAGGTAAACAGGATGGTCCATTATCCACTGATTTTCTAACCGTGGGCCACCAGCTCTGGGGATATCTCTATTACTAAAAAAAGAAATTGTGAAGCAAAAAAGCTTGGTTGTGTTGTTGCACACATGCATTTTTTTTATTTTATATTTGTAGCGACCGACAATACTTTGTCCCTTGATTGTATCCTTCCTCCAATTTACAGCTTGAATAAACTCATATGGTCGTCTTTTCTTAGTTGCAAGTGTAATTTCTGTGTCACTAGTTTGTCTTCAATTAAACAACTAGCTAAATAATTTGTGATAATGGGCTTGTGTGCTACTATTGCAGTAGGAAGTAGAAATCTTCTGTGCCTTGTACATGCAAAGACATTTTACCATGTCTGCTGATCCTGCTTTGGTGGACGAGGATGCTTCATCAGGCTCAGGAGGGGACTTAAACATGTTAGATGGAAATAATAAGCATCAACCTGTAACACCAAATTCGGGTCGTCGCAAGAGAGGTCGCAAGGCAACTGGTGATGCTATAGTTGATGCTATGCTGGAAATTGCAGCTGCTTCAAAGATGAGGGCAGCTGCCATTATGAGGAATGAGGAGCGCTTTGCTATAAGCAAATGCATAAAAGTATTGGATGAATTGCAAGGTGTTGATCAAAGTATCTACTTTTTTGCATTAGATCTGTTTGAGAATCCAAATGCCAGAGAAACCTTTATCTCTCTTAAGAATGAGAGACGGTTAACTTGGTTGCAGTGCAAGTTTAACACCTCGGCAAATGCAGCTAACAGATGAAATTAAGAACCCTGTTACAATTCTATTAGTTCTTGACCTTGATTTAGGGGATTTTTGCTAGGACTTTGACTGTATATTGTTATTAGTTCTTGACATTTAAATAGAGGATTTTACCTGGGTGGACTGTATATTTAGTTTCTCTTCTCTTTGAGCATAACCAGAGAGCATTTTGTAAGATTTCTGTAGGTTTCCTCTTTAAGATTTATCTTATTTTCAAGTACAACATCGTTACATAGTTGGAGTTGGTTGTTCAAGTCATCTTTTTAAACTTGTTACAAGATCTTGCATGGATATAGCACAATAATGGACTACTGACTATTTGGAATATATGATTAATCATCATCACACAAATTCAAATTTACAAGAACCAAAGAGATTGTTTATGGACTTCTCTAATAGCTATATTTATTGTACTTCATAGTCTTCTTCAGTGGCCCATGGATACTTCCTGTATGCATTCTTAATTTGAGATGGATTTTCTGGCGTAGACCATGGGTACTTCATTGATGGATCTCTTGGAAACTTTCTGAAGTTCAGAAATGGTGCCCATAGAAGAACCCTAGTTTTTGAAACAATTCCCTTGGTCAATATATGAACCAACTAATTATCAATTCCAAACACGAGAAAGCATTAGGAAAGCTGATTAATATTTTTCTTTTAATTAACTACCGACTATGGTCTATTTTAGTAGTCGTGATTGTGAAAGTGCTTCTTTTGTGCAGCGAATTTAGCAAAAAGATAGTAGTAGTAATTAAACAATTAATGTAATTAAGGGCAAAAATTTTAGTACAATATTTTGCTTAGTCAAACTCCATGAATCAAACAAAAGAAAAAAATAAATTTCAGTAGTCATAGTTTTCGTAATCCTTTAATTTGTTTCAATTCCTTCAGAAACGCTATAATTCTATCTTTATCATATCCCATTAATTGATTCCAAATATCTTTAAGTTGCCGAAACCAGGATTTGAACTTTATAGATTCAGGATTCTAATCCTTTTAAATTATTGGATTCTAAAAGTAATAAATACTCACAACACAAATATAATATTTAGACCAAAGCTACTAAGTTCGCCGCACCCTAGCGGGCACACTAACTCCGCCCTGGCTTCCTGCTAGCTTGTCTTATCCGTGCAAAACCCTTCAATAGCAATGATTTTTGTCATTTTTGTCTCGACTGTTTTGCTTATACGGAATTTGCTTTTGTTTTTCCAATTCGCTAACAGCATAACGATTTCTTACAAGATAAATATAATTTAATATATCATAACATATTAATTATCATTTTTATGAAGCTAAGTTGCTTACACTTGGATGATTAAGGACATATATGATGGAGCTAAAACCCGAGCGAGGACAGTGGGATGAGACTCAGACCACTTTCTAGTTGTAATCGGGTTGCACCAGGGTTCAACTCTTAACCCGTTTTATTTGCCTTGGCGATAGACATACTGATGCGCTACATGCAAAGGGAGGTGTCATAGTGTATGTTATTGGAAGATAATAATGTACTGATTGATGATACGTTCATGAGGCGGTGTTAACCCGAGTGGAGGTTTGGAGACAGATCTTAGAATCTAAAAGTTTCAAGTTGAGTAGGACCAAGACATAATACTTTGAGTGCAAGTTCAGTAACTGAACCAATGCAGCAGACATGGACGTGAGGCTTGATGCACAAATTATCCCCAAGAGATATAGTTTCAAGTACCATGTATCTATAATCCAAGGAAATGGGGAGATTGACGAGGACATTACACATCGTAATGGAGCGGGGTGGGTAAAATAGAGGTGCGCATCCGGGGTTTTATGTGATAAGAATGTGCCACCTAAATATAAAGGTAAGTTCTACAGAGTAGTTGTTAAACCGACTATGTTGTGTGAGGCAGAGTGTTGGGCAACCAAGAACTCCCATGTCCAGAAGATGACAATAGCATAAATGAGTATGTTGAGATAGATTGCAGGCGTACCGGGATTGATAAGATTAGGAATGAAGATATTCATATCAGGGTGGGAGTGGCCCCGATTGTAACAACCCGGATGGTCATTTTATGTTTGAATCCCGTTCTCTTATTTGATGCTTTCGTTATATGTGTTTGTGATTTTTTGACTTGCGGAGGTTGTTAGTTTGGTTTCAGGATGGTTTGAGAGTGAATTGAGATACTTAATCTCATTTTGGAAGCTTAAGTTGTAAGAGTTGACCAAGGTTTGACTTTTGTATAAAAGATATCGGATTAATATTTTGACGGCTTCACTAGGTTCATATGGTAATTTTGGACTTAGACGTATGTCCGAATTTGGATTTGGAGGTCCCTAGGATGTTTTGGCTCTATTTTTTGAAAGTTAACAACTTGAAGATATGGAGAGTTTATAGGTTTGATCGGGAATTAACTTTGATGATATCGGACTTGGATTATTATTTCGAGACTTAGAATATGTCTATATAGTGGTTTGGAACTTGTGTAAAGTATGGTTAGAAATCGGATTGGTTAGGCATGAATCAGACGCTTGGTTAGAAGTTGGAAATTCTTGAACTTAAGAGAAGGATTTTGATCGTCGATTCTTGGGGTTGATGTTATTCATAGTATTTTGAGCCCTTTGATAAGTTTTAAATAGGTATATAGACTTGTTGGTGTGGCTGGACGGGATCCCGAAGGGTTCTGGTGTATTTTGGCTCGGTTGCGACCATTTTGAATGGGTTGGGGGCAGGTGCGAGGTCCCAAGTTCGGCTGGGCTATCGCATATACGGAGTTAAGGTGTTATGGGGAAGTTACGATTCTATGAAGAAGAGGGCCACAGGTGCGAAGGCGCACCTACAGAGTACTGGTGCACATCTGCGAGGATTGAAGGCCTGAGGGAATGTTCGCACATGCAAAGGCGTTGGTTGTGGCCGCGAAGTCGCACATGCAATGCATGAGTTGTAGAAGGAGTGGCCGGCAACTTAAGTGGGACTGGAAGATGTGAGGGTTTTATGGCAAAAGCGGTGTCGCAGAAGCAACCTTTTGGTCTGCAAATGCAAAATCGTGGGGCAGGTGTTATATTTCGAAAGTTTGGGCTATTTTCATTATTTTAAGTTTTGGAGCTTGGTTAGAGGCAATTTTTGGGGAGAATTTCATCACCACTTTGAGGGTAAGTGATTTTTATTCGATTTTGTTGACATATCATATTTTTTCATGAATTCTTACATATAGATTATGGTATTTGAAAGAGAAATTTGGGATTTTGACTACCATATTTGGAGAGTGTAAATTGGAGATTTGGGAGTTGATTTGAATTCGATTTTGGAATCGAATCACATATTTGAACCGTGAGGTTATGGGTTGTTAGGATCTACCCCTTGACTCGGATTTTGACCATATGGTCCCTAATAGACTTTTGTTGACTTTTGGGGATTTGACTAAAAATTTAAATTTTATTGTATGAAATTGATTCCTATGACTTTGTTTGACGTTATTGAGTTGTATTTGACTAGATTCGACTCGTTCGAAGGTTGATTTGATAGGAAATGCTATTTTGGAAGGTTGGAGGCTGCCAGATGAAGGTAAGTCTCTTGGCTAACCTTGTTAAGAGGGAAACCTCTATGATTTGACTTGATTACTATGTGTTTAAGGTATTGCGGATGGTGTATATATCGGGTGGCGAGCATATATGCACTTACCAAGTTACATCATGATTGGGGTACAATTGGAATACTTTATGCCTTGTTTTGATTATGTGCTAATTTGATTCATGATTTATTTGACTTATATAACTAAGTTCACTCTCTTATTCATGTTAGAGATCATGCCTAGGTTTATAATTATTTGTGAAAGTATGGTAACTTATCCTTTATATGTTGAATTGCTTGAATTGTTCGTAGCCATATAGAAACTCTATGAGCACACATCTACATAATTTTTATTTAGTTCTTGTGCATCTTTTATCTATAATTCTTGAGCATATGCATATATTTTGTATATGGATATCTGATTTGGACTGAGAATTTTGGCACGAAACGTAAGGCATGTGGATGAAATACAGTTATGGCACATAGGACATGATGATCAAATATTTGATTATATGTGAGCTATCAAGCTCTTTTTTGCGCATGAATAAGGATTTGTCCCTCTAGAGTCAGGTGGTTAACCATGTTACTTTGTGCCCTGTGAACGTGGTCGATACATGAATTATGTATCGGGTCGATACATAGATTTGGTTCGGGTTATGGTGATACATGGATTTTGTAGCGGTTATTGTAAGAAATTGAGTTTGAGCATGCTTAGATATCCTTGACTCATTTAGAAACATTTATTTAGATATTAATCCTTACTTTCCATCTTTATATACTAGTTGGGAGCCTCAACTATGTAGAATTGAAGCATGCCACCTTTAAATACCATATATGAGCAGCATTATATATATTTCTTGAGCTGAAAAACATGCTTTATACTTTTTGACTGTTGATATCTTTGATTCATGTTATTCATGAGATTATTTACTGTTTTAGCTTAAAGCTCTATTATTTATATCTATGTTGTGAGTATCTTGATGCTTACAACCTCGCCACTATTTTTTCGAAGTTAGACTTGATACTTACTGGATATCGATTGTGTATACTCATATTATGTTTTTGCACGTCTTTTTGTACAGGTCCTCAGGTAGGTGTTAGCGGAGCCACTTGATTGAGCTTAAGTGTTCGCACGGATTCTTAGGGTGACCTGCAGTCCATGAATTAATTTTGCAGTGCTCGAGTCCCTGTTCTTCACCATTTTTTGTCTAATTTATTATTTTAGACAACTTTGTTCATGTATTCAGGCTTGTACTTATTCAATAGTTGCTCGTGTACTTATGCCACCTAGCTTGGGTATTATACTGTTTTGGCCACGTTTAAGCCGTGTTATAACAGTATTAGATATTTTACTATTTTGAGGTTATTTCTATCTTTATTTTTTATATGAGTGTGTTAATTAAAGGAATCTGACTATGTTTTTTTGTTGATTGTGAGTTAGCTTGCTTAGCAAGTGCAGTTATGCACCATCAATTAATTAAAAATCTGGTTATGTTTTTTTTTTGTTGATTGTGAGTTTGCTTGCTTAGCAAGTGCAGCTAGGCACCATCACAGCCTAAGGTGGGATTACGGGTCGTAAAAATATTGGAGAACAAGATGCGGGAAACGAAACTTAGATGGTTTTGGGAATATGAAAAGGAGAAGCACAAATGCCCCAGTAAGGAAGTGTGAGAGGTTGACCTTGGTGGGTCTGAGAAGAGGTAAAGATAAGCCAAAGAAATATTTGGGAGAGTTGATTAGGAAGTATCTAGAGTTGCTTCAGCTTATTGAGGACATGATCCTTGATAGGAATGTGTGGAGATGAAGAATTAAGGTAGAAGGCTAGTAGGTAGTCGAACGTGTTTATTCGTACTACTAGTAGCATTAGTGTTAGTCTTGTTTTCTATTATTGTTAGATTTTTATTATTATATGTTGTTCCTTTCGCTTTGTTTTCTTATTATTTTGTTGTTGTTATTACTTGTTGCTATTGCTGTTTTTTTTCCATCTTTTCTTGAGCTGTGGGTTTATCGAAAACAGTTTCTCTACCTTCAAGGTAGGGATAAGGTCTGCGTGCACACTATCCTCCTCATACCTACTTAGTTTGTCTGGTTTTTTTTTATTATTATTATTATTATTTTATTTTTTTTATTTTTTTATGAGGCTAAATATAATGTTTGTTATATAAACTAACATGTTCTGTCTGTATAGCATATGTTTGGACAAAAAAGGATCATATACCTACTTGATCGAATTTACTTAACGATCCATGCATATAGTTTCCTCCCTTTCTTTTAAATGGTGAAATACGACAATTTACCCCATGTTTGCCAGATTTTCAGGTAAATAAATATTGAGATATGGTATAGTAACCACTTACCCTGGAAAGAAGATGAAGACAAACATAAACTGCAAATACATCTCCAATAGGTCCCTCTTATACCACCTTTTCCTAAGCCAGGTCATTATGATAGGCTGCAATCGAAGTCACGTATAACTTTAAGAAATTGATAAAGAAAAAAATAAATAAAAGACAACTAGCATATAAAGTTTTAGAAACCTTATGTTCTAATTTTTTTTAACTTTAAGTTGCATTATAGAGGCGTATCGAGAATTTCAAAAACATGAGTACCCCATAAGCGCCATAGAAATGAATTTTTTAAAGGGTGTCTGAAAGACGTATTTTTGATTTAGGAATTTTACAGTTCCAAACGAAGATTAAAAAAAGAGAAGGGAAAAAAACTTGTAACCAATATATAAGGGGGAAAAAACGTATATTTGATTAGAAAAAGCGGTAGAGCATTTAACCCTATTTATTAATTAAAATATGATTTAAAAGAAGCCAGAGTACAGGACCGAACCCATGATTAAAAGGTAAGAGGTGCACCTCCTTACAAAGCACTAAAGTGTTCACTTAAGCTTGGGTTCACCCATGTTAATTTAAGTATTTGACCTGTAATTTACTAGTGTTATACATGATTTCGGGGAGGAGGATGGGTTCACGTGAACCCTCTCCTTCCCATATGCATCCGCCCTTGGTTGCATATATCGACGATATAAAGAATATTTACACAATCAAATTATTTATAAGATAATTATGAATAAATTCATATCATTAGTGTTAATTAAGAACATGATTAAAAAGTAACTTACTTGCAATTAAATTACAATGACAACATGAAATTTTATATTATTCGTGAATAGAACTTAAATCAATTTTTTTTATGTCCACTTACTGGGGCAACAAGGAAGTAGAAGAATGCAGAAATGGCCAATTGGATCAACACCCAAACCAAGTCTTCTTCATTATTCACGCCTGTCACTGCCAAAGCTGGCTCTGCACCTACCTATATATTATGAATTCTTGAAAAACTAATCCTTCAGAAAGAGCAAACATATAAAAAAGAACAAAAAAAAAAGGAAATATTGAGTTAATTAATCTCAACTAAAGGGTCTTACGGTGGCCAAAAGTGTGCCAACTTGAATGGCCAATAAGGATTTTGAAGAAGCCAAACTTTCAATAGCCTTCAAATTGATGCATTTTGATGCCTATTATTGAATTCAAAAAAAGAAGAGTGGTAAATTCCTTGACGGTAATAATTGTTGTATCGTGAAAGTTTGCGAACCGTTAAAGTTGTTAACATGTGATCGGGAGGCCACGGATTCGAGCCATGAAAACAACCTCTTGCAGAAATGCATGGCAAGACTGCGTACAAGATACCCTTGTGGTCTGGCCGTTCTCTGGACCCGCGCATAATGGAAACTTAGTGCACCATATTGCCTTTATCGTGAAAGTTTGCAAAAATTAAAGAAATCAAACCTTTAATTGTGGGATTGATGATTTATGAGATTTTTCCTGGCTTGAAGCTTTAGTGGAGATAAAAGGAGCTCTGCGATGGAGAAGAGGAAGAGAAGGCAAAGCCTTTGGGACAAAGGAGGTGTTCATCTTTTGAGCCAGTTGTTTGTGGTTTTTCTTATCTGATTTGGTTTTTAGTTGTACATGGTTGAGAATGCAAGCAAAGGGACAAAAACAGAAATGGGCAATTATTTTTGAGTCCTCACATTCTTTAGTTTTTTGACAACTTAATGGGAAGTTTCAATAAGTTTTTATTTTTGAAAAGAATTAAATGAAAAAAACGTTTCAGTTAAAGATAAGGTTGCTTATTTCGTTTTACTACTATGGAAGAGGAAATAGGATCTCTTCGTCCCACCAAAACCCGTCATTACCATCTATTGTTTCTAAGTAGTAATATTATTTTTTGGCAAAATACATAAAGAGATACTTAAAGTTGGCCCAAATATTTATCTCACACTCCAACTTACCAGGTGACCATATAGATATTTTATGTTGGTTTTAGTGTGTCAAGTAAACACGCGTGTATGGAAGGTATAATGCGTGAGACACAATCGCTCCTACGTGTGATAACCCGATAGATCATTTATAGTTTTAACCCTCAATTCTGTGTTTTGAAATCCCGAATAGCTCCATTTAATCTTTTCCGATTTGCGTGTGCAATGCGTGTCTTTTTTCGGAAAGTTTTTATGTGAAAATTTTATAAGAATATGAAATCGTGCTTTAAAATTCATTTGAGTTGACTTCGGTCAACGTTTTGCGCAAACGAACCAGAGTCAGTATTTTGACGGTCCTGATGAGTCTGTATCGTGATTTGGGACTTGGGCGTATGTCCGGAATCGAATATGGAGGTTCCTAGCTTGAATTATTGTAATTTGTTGAAAACTAGAAGTTTAAAGATTTAAAGAAATTTCTAAGTTTGACCGTAGTTTGACTTTGTTGCTACTAGGTCGGGATTTTGGTTCTGGAACTTGGTAAAAAGCTCATTACATTATTTAAGACCTTTTTAATCCGTCCACTCAGGTTTTCATCTCCTAAGGTAGTATTTAAGACTTGTCTGTAAAATTTGGTACAAAACAGAGTTGATTTGGCGTGATTCAGACGTTCGGTTGAAAAATTGCATGTTTTTAAGTTTTACTGAAAATTTTATTCGTTTTGGTGTCTGATTCGTAGTTCTAGGTGTTATTTTGGTGTTGTGATCGCGCGAACGAGATCGTATGATGTTATTACACTTGTGTGCACGTTTGGTTTGGAGCCCGGGGGGCTCGAGTAACTTTCGGATAGGCCACAGAGTGATTTTTGAACTTAGAGGAGTGCTGGTGCATCTTGCGAGGACCTGGTCGCAAATGCGAGGCCAGGCTCGCATTTGCGAAGATAGTGGGAGCTGGGTTAGCTTCGCTTTTGCGAAGTGAAGTCCGCATATGCGAAGAGGGGCATGTTCGCATTTGCGAACTTTGTGTCGCATTTGCGACTAATGGCAGACTAAGGCAGACTCACATTTGCGGACAGCCTTGGCTCGCATTTGCGACAAAATTGTCGCATTTAAGATGGCATCAGGCTCTGTGACTTCTTCCCATTTGCGAAGGGTTGGTCGCAATTGCAATAGCTGCAGCTGGGTAAAAGAAGGAAAAACGGAAATTAGCTCATTTCTTTCAAACTTTTAACCCTAAACACCTTAGAGCCAATTTTTCCAAGAGCTTTTCTTCCTAAATTCATTGGTAAGTGACTTTAATCTACTTTCTTTCAATTACCTATTACATTTCATAAGATTCAACATCAAATTTAGGATTTTTATAGCCGAAATTAGGGATTTGGATAGAATAAAATTTTTGTAAATTTGGGATTTAGAACTCGAATTGAGGTCAGATTTCGAAACAAATTAAATAATAGGGCTCGAGGGTGAATGGGTAACCGAATTTTGGTCCGAATTTTGGGTTTTGACCAAGCAAGCCCGTGGTTGACTTTTTCAATAATGATTTAAATTGATCCTCTTTCATTCGTGAGTAGTTTCTAGGCTTATTTTGAATCGTTTGGTTAATAATTTGCTAGATTTTGTTGGTTGGAGGCTTGTTCGAAAGGCATTGCCGTAGTTGAATCTTGAGTTGATTGCGGAGTGAGGTAAGTATTGGGTCTAACCTTAATTTGAGCAAATAGGGACCCTTATGCTATGTGCTATGTGAATTTTATGTGTAGCGGCGTATATGCGAGGTAGCAAGTGCATATGCGCCGCCAATTGCTTGTTTTCATATCTACCCGTATTTCATTAATTATATCATTCCATCTCTTGATTGTTACATGCCTTAATTTCTTCCTATGCCTTAACTTGCTACTTGTCATTTATTATTCTCGCATTATAAATGATATTTGCCTTAATTATCCTACTTGTACCCTTTAACTGTCATGTGTTTGACTTGTCTTGTTGCTCAGTATTAATTGTAGCCTTTCATGATTTGGTACGAGATTCCTTCTTGATTTGTAACTTTCATATTCGTTAATCATAGAGATTTTTGTGATTCGAGTTGTTAATTGATTGCACTTATTGATTTATTTATGGATCGGGTTGCACGCATCAACAAGTGGAATACGAGAGGATTTATTGATACGGTGGGATCGGGTTGCGCGCCGCAACATGTGAAATATCGGTGGATTGATATGGTGAAGTAAGGGAGGATTATGATACTGACTCTCATTATATGGTGGGATCGGGTTGCGTGCCGCTATATATATATATATATTATTGATATTTACCTGGTAGAATAAGGGAGAAAATGTTGAACTATGGGATCGGGTTAAGCGTCGCAACAGTTTATCTATTTTACATTCCTTGTTGTATTATGTTGGCTTCAGTGCTTTCATACGAGACTTTGAGTGTTGGTATCTCTATATTTACTAGTTTTCGAGGATTAAGTTATTTTCATGACTTAGTTGCCTTATTTTTCCGTATTTTCCTTTCCTGACATTATTTATATATTGCGTACAGGTTATTGTAAGTGACCCGCCTTAGCCTCGTCACTAATTCGTCGAGGTTAGGCTCGACACTTACATAGTACATGAGATCGGTTCTACTCATACTACACTATGTACTCCTTGTGCAGATTTTGGAGTCGGTCCCAAAGGCGGTCAGTAGATTTCTCGGGTTGACTATCAGTACAGAGACTTTAGGTACAACTGCTTGACGTTCGCAGCCTTGAAGTCCCCTTCTACTTTATCTTAACTGTGTATTTTCTTTTAGATAGCTTTACGTTCATTCAGACCTTTATCTATTTTTTCCCAGTAGCTCATACACTTGTGACACCATATTCGGGTTGTGTTTATATATTTTAGTTGTTATGGCTTTCCGCTCATTATTTCAGTTTTATCTCAGTTATTTCAGTAATTGATATCAATTAAATTTGATTTGTTTAAAAATGGCTTAAAACTAATCTAATGTTGGCTTGCTTGGCAAGTGAAATGTTAGGCGTCATCGTGGTCCCGAAGGTGGGAAATTCGGATCGTGACAAGTTGGTATCAGAGCACTAGGTTACCTAGGTCTCACGAGTCACGAGCAAGATTAGTAGAGTCTGGAGGATCGGTACAAATATGTCTGTACTTATTTTCCAGAGGCTATGGAGTTTAGGAACATCTTCGCTTCTATTCTTCTCTGTCATGTGATTTTATTCTATCATCGATGATTGTACTCTTCTATTCTTATTCTCTCACAGATGACAAAAATACGTACTGTATCTACAGCTGGATAGTAGCCGGAGCCCCCTGTGGAATCATTAGCTCGGGGCCGAGGTCGAGGCCGAGGTCAAGGCAGAGGCTGAGCTCAGCCTAGAGCTCGAGCAACAACACCCGCAGTAGAACCTCGGGTAGATTTTGATGAGGAGGTTCTAGCTCAGACTGTACCTGTTGGACCAGCTCAGGCCCCGAAGGGGTTCATAGCCACTCTAGTGCTTTAGGATGCTCTAGTCCAATTGGTGGGCCTTATGGAGAGCGTAGCCTAGGCCGGTACATTTTCGGTGGCACCGGCCGTGTCTCAATCTGGGGGAGAAGCACAGATTCCCGCTACTCACACAACGGAGTAGATGGCTCCCTAGTATTAGACTCTAGCAGCCTTGCCAGTTGGGGTGGTCAACCGATTGTTGCGGCACAGGCCGGTGACGGGTGGATTTTGTTGTGTTTCAAATGACGGGTTTCGCCAAGAGGTGGTGGAGAGATTATATGTTGACCAGACCAGCTGGATTGCCTGCACTTACTTAGGATCAATTCTCACAACTATTTCTAGGGAAGTTCATCCTATCACCTTAAAAGAGGAGTACTGCAGGCAGTTTGAGTGTCTTCAACAGGGTAGTATAATTGTCACCTAGTACGAGACTCGTTTTGTGGGCCTAGCTCGCCATGCCATTATCTTGCTCCCTATTAAGAGAGAGAGAGAGAGAGAGAGAGAGAGAGAGAGAGAGAGAGTGAGGAAATTTATCGATGGACTCACTTACACTATCAGGCTACAAATGGCCAAGGAGATCGGGAGTGGTATTTTCTTCTAAACGGCTGTAGATATTACTAGACAGGTCGAGATGGTTCATGCTCAGGAGAGGGGAAATGTGTCTAATAAGAGGCCTCATCATTTCGGTAGTTTCAGTGGTGTCTCATCTGAAGGCATGAGTCCTTCCAGGCCATTTCAGTCAACCTTTCAGGCATCTCACAATGCTTCAGGGAGTCGTGATCCTTGTGTGCCTTATTCTAGGCACTCAGCCAATAGTGCACCATCAGCCCCTATCAGTGTGCCTCTGTTTAGAGGTCTCACCATGGTTATCCCGTCAGTTCGGATAAGCTTCAGTTTCAGCAACCACAATAATAGGATGTGTGTTTTGAGTGGTGGTATTAGGCACATCACGAGGTCCTGTATGAGGTTATTGGGCCGCATGCCACAACAGAGTTCTCATGCCATGGTTCCAATACTGGTTGTTCAACCACTCACTCAGCCATCTAAGGGCAGGGATCAGGCAGCTAGAGGTGGGGGTCAAGACGTTAGAGGTGGAGGTCAGGCCATTAAAGGTGGAGGCCAGCCAGCTAGAGCCCGTCCCAGAGACGTAGTTCAGAGTGGTTGGGCCCAGCGTCGATTGTATGCTTTCCCATCTAGGCATGAAGCCGAGTCATCTGACGTCGTTATCATAAGTATTGTTTCAGTT